TCATTAAAAAGGCTCTAAAGAGCTTTAGCTTATTTATTCTGCTTTTATAAATATTGATTCTAGAGCTGGACTAGCACTCAAGTATCTGCTGGCACTTAATGCTCAAAATGCGTTTATTATGTGTATCATCAAAGAGCCTGCTTTCTAACAGCCTTCATCATCTCTTGTAAATGAAAGTTATTTTGAAAAGTTTGTTTAAAAGTTCATTAAAATTCAATTAAATGTGTGAGCTTATTTTGGTGCAAAATTTCTTTGAAATCTATGCATAACTCTTCTTAATATGGATTTTATACATACCATGGAAAAATTTTGTTCCTGATTAAGTTTACAGCATTAATCCCATTTTCTTATGAGTTTTTTGAATTACTAACCTATAGTAGGAATGATTTCTTATACATCAAGGCATAGCAGTTATGGAAGTAAGAATGATCTACCACAGAACTCCCCACCCTCTACTGACACAGAATGATCATTTACCTATGTGAAAGAGGGAGAGACAGAGACAAGTCTTTTTTACCCACTGGCTTACTCTCCAGACAGCTGCAAGAGCCAGCGCTGTGCCAAGCAACTGCCAGAAACCACAAGCTTCTTCCAGGTCTCTCATATGTGTGGCAGGGGCCCAAACTTTGGGCCACCTTCTGCTTTTCTCGGGAGCATCAGCAGGGAGCTGTATTGGAAGTGCAGTAGCTGTGGTATCAATCAACACCCACATGGGTGAGAACACTGCAAACGGTGTCTTATCTGCTATGCTACAATGCTGGCCCTTTTCCCAACCTTCTACATTGGTGCAAATGGAAGGGAGAGGAGAGCTGAAGCTGGGAGCTTCGCTGTGAAAGAATCAGAGGGCTGTTAAAAGCAGCTCATCCTCCACAATCCTCTGCACCTTAAGGAGACTCAAAGGTTTAACAAATCAAAGTTCCAGCTCTTTGCTGCCTTAAGAAAAAAATTGTGTATTTATTAGGAAGGCAGAGTACAAATGGAGAGAAAGAGATCTTCCACCAGTTGGTTCACTCTCCAAAGGGCTACAATGGGCGACAATTGAAGCCAGTTGATGTGTTGAAGCCAGAAGCATCCTCTGGTCTCCTGCATGGGTAGCAGTGACCCAAGCACTTGGGCCATCATTTTCCACTGCCTTCCCAGGCCATTAGTAGGGACTGGAACTGGAAGTAGAGCAGTTGGGACATGAAGCAGTACACATATGGAATGCCTGTGCAGCACAGGGCAGCTTAATCCATTATACCACAATGCCAGCTTGTACTATTGACTCTTTCCAGAACCTCAAAGTAAGTCATTTAACTGTTTGATCTTTCCAGCTAAAAATATAGCTTTAATTTGCCCAATATATAGAGTGGCTGGTTGATCTAATCATAACCCACATTTTGGCATATCTAGCCTATTAGAATATGCTAAAACACTCTAAGTTCCTCAAAATAATTAGAATGTAACCAAAATCACATAGAGCTTTGTGTTTATCTGTCCATCCACCCGTCTGTCTACCCATCTATCTCTCCATTAATCCATCTATCTACCCAACCACGCCCACAGTCGGATGGATGCGCAGGGACACACACACACAAATCCCTCAGTCATACATCATCATATTTAGACTGTACTGATGATAATGTGGGGAATGACCCATTTATTAATAGTTGTGATATTTCTTAGAAAATGGGAAGTCACTGAAATTGTAACTAGAATTTAGAACAGATCAAAGTGAGAATTTCTTTATATTAATCACCATTACCTTCATCCATCACTCTTCTCCCTAATTTTGACATGAACAGAAATATTTTATTGGTCTGTTGCACACAAGAAATAATATCAACACCTCTTAGACCGGAAAAGCAGGTACTCTGTTCAATTTTTCTTCTCCTGTGAACAAAGGAAAGTAATTTATTCAGCAGCATGCTTCAAATGAAGTGATCAGAATTATATTAGAAAGATTCCTCTTCTAGAAGCTGGATGCAATATCTGAATTAGGAATGTTTTTTAAGAATATTCAAGCCCTCTGTTTAACACAGTGAATGAGAAAACATGGGTTAGGATACAAAGAAGCAAGAATTTTTACACGAATGGGAGCTATTTAAGCCAAAATACATCAGTAGAAGATGAAAAAATATTTTTCCTGGGAGGAGGTAAGACACTGGACAGGTGAAGAGGACACAACGACAGGAAGAGGAAGAGGAAGGAGAATGTAGCACATTTGGGTTACATGATGCAACGTGAGGAGGAATGAGCCCACTACTTCTCCACAGGATTTGCCCATGAACTCTTCTTAGTGGCAAAGAGAATCCGAAATGCCTCACACTTGAGGTTCACACAGCATTTATGATACAAGATGGGATCCGTAAGAAGGATCTCCAGCTTCTGCACCCGATTAGGGCAGGGCGGGGTAGGAAAGAGCACTTCCTACTGAATTTCACAGTTAAAGGAAACAGGCTGGAGACAGCACCACTCTGGTGTTAAAGACAATAAAAATAAAAATCCACTAGAGCAGAATTCTGAATGAAAAAAAAGACTTTTGAAATAAGGACATAATGCAACGATATCTTCTACTAAAATCCACAAAGCATAAGTTCTCAGTCTCCAATTAAGATACTAATTTAAATTATGAACACAATGTACTAAGGTGGTATTTATTCAGTCTTAGGAATAATGGGAAAAGCTGTGTCCACACGCACTTGACTTTAAGCAAGTCTGAGCAGATGAAAACGCACTGCCACCACAGGTCTCGACTGTCGTCTGGATAATCATCAGCAGTGCCGTCCATCAAAACGACACTGACGTAGAGGAAATTTCATTGTCTCCATACACGATTGTCTGGAATGATGCACTGCGACTGACCAGTCACCCCTCAGAGGCAACACATTAATAACTCGAGCCTGTGCCTTCTGGCCATGAGCATCACTCTCGTCTCCTCAGGGACCTGACCACATCCAACAGACACAGTCCGAGTTCAACTGTCATTCACTTTATCCTTCCTGTGTTTCAAGATTAAAACTCAAACGTAAGCACCGATAACATTAGCCATATAATACGCAGTCTGTGAAGGGCAGAACACATTTATTCTTCTCACGACTCTTAACACAGCATATCGGGATCCTAGGTTACTTGATCTTTGTGGCAAGATGGAGGATTCTGAGAAATGAAATTGGAAACGTATTGCAACTTGAAAAGGGATGATGAGAGCTGCTTCCACTGGGGACACGACGGCCCCAGTCTCCATCTATCAGAATGGCCACGGTCTCAGCCTCCAGCAAACACAAAGAAGTGACATAAAAATTCTGCATTTTCTGTGCTTTTCAACTTGCTAAGTTTAACTACTTCTTAGAAAAGGAAGAAACAAACAAAACCTTCATTCAGGAATGGGACATACTAAGAAAGTGGTCAATAGGATATTCACATATGGCTGTTACAGTACCACGCTATCTGAGAACTTGGTGCCAGACAGCCGCAACTTCACAGCCGAGGCGCACTCGGGATGGGGGAGGTGTACGTGCAGCAGAACAATCACCCCAAGCTCAGCAAAGAGATCGGGTGAATGTGCAAGGCACCACTGCATCCATCAGACTGAGAGCAGCTGATAAAACAGAGAGCAAGAACTGCATGTCACGAGGGACAAGGACAGAGGGCTAGCATCAGCAAGCTACAGCCAAGCCCGGCTAGTTAGAAGCAAGGTCAAAGTCACAAAGGGGGTGGAGCATTTTTACCAAATCCTTTTATCTAATGGGTCACCTGACCTTGATGATTCACTTTAGAAGCTATTTTCGGGGGCCAGAGTTACGACGTAATGCATTAGGCAACCACTACGTTTGAGCAACCACATATGGGAGCCATTTGAGCCCTGGCTGCTCTACTTCCAATCCAGCTTCCCTACTCATGCGTGCGGGAAAGCTGTGGAGAACAGCTCAAGTGCTTAGGTTCCTGCACCCATGTAGGAGACCTGGAAAAAGCTTCCGACTCCTGGCCTCAGCCCCAACTGCTAGGCCATTTGGGGAGAGCACCAGTGGATGGACGCGCTCTCTCTCCCCACCTCATTTGTAACTTTGTCTTTCAAATAAATAAATCTTTAGAAAATAATTTTAACCTATCTTCTCATTCATCACTAAATAATTCATCAAATACCACTGAAATTTAAAGGACAGTGTCAAGAGTCTCCACTACAAATAGTTTCCTAAAGACAGTTACACAATTTATTTTCTTTAATGAGTCATTTTTCCCAACAGGTGGGGTAAGACTGCATATCTTTTCACTCAATAATTCGTTTCCATTTAGGGTCTCAAAAGCCCAGCTGGAGGAGAACTTGGGAGTCCTGTGTAGCCTTACCAAAACTGTCAAAGACATGCTTACCTGAGACTTTATTCAGCTTGCTTCTACCATCAGAAGTATGTACACAGCCGGAGAGCATGGCCGCTGTGCACTCAGTGCAAAGCCACGTGCAGAAACAGCTTTAACAGAATGAAGGAAGAAGACACAGTGGGGCAGCTATGCTCCACTCTGTCCCCACACAAAATGTGGGCGTTGGCTCTGAACACTGGAAACCAAGGCCCTCTGCTGCCTCACCATCTCGCCCTCCTCCTCCGTATCCCTTCTCCTGTGCCCTGGTTGTCATAAACAGACTTCTTCCCATGTCTTTTTCAAACTTCATCAAGGAATCACTGCACAAGGAATGAAACAGGAACATGTGCACCCCCAAACTTTGACAATGCCAGCTGTCTTTCATTTGCTTTCTCTCTCGCTTGATAGCATGAGAAACATCTTACAAAATGAAATATTAGCTCAGCCGGTAAGGGGTGCTAAATGGCATCAAAGATACATTACACCCAAAACAAACTGACAATAGCAGGCACAAGCTACAGGATTTAAAAAATGTCAATCTGATTTCTCAACAAAGGAGTTAAGTTCATATAAGTCAAGTCACTAAGAAGCCTATTCTCTTCTTTCCACGTAAAACACTACCGTAGCAATCTTCGAGTCCAAAGCCACGAAGAAGTACCTACATGATGGTGTTAATGCCCGACAGCTGCTGGAACATCTGCAGGCCACAGCCCACGATCAGAGCCCGGCGTGTCGGTGGGTAGCTCAGCATCCTGCAGATCACAGGTCCAGCTTGTTTCCAAAAGAAAAAGGGAAAAAGAGGACACAGCCGTTATGTTTTGCTCTCACAGTCATTGCTCCCTCCATACTGAATTTCCATGAGATCATTTTCAAACAGGACGTACACATTTTACAGAGATGTGAGCACAATTTAATATTTTGAAAACAGACTTAGTGTATGTTTTAGCTCAGGCTGGAAAAGCAACAGCAGAGACTGCGATTGCTAACAAGCTGTGGGTGCCAGGATGAGCCAAGACAGCCAGAACTCATTCTTTCTTGAATCCCTACAAGCTGTGTTCATTATTCACTCTCTACTCTTGCCTTTTCCTGGCAATTAAATATTATTTAAAATGCATCCATGTGGGACTACTACAGAGTCACTGGCAAAATTGCTTTCATCAATCAAAAGAACAGAACTTATTAAAAACAATTAAAAGAGGAACAAAACTCATTCCATTCTGTTTGACTAAAAGCATTTGGGTATAGTAGTGTTGATGATGGCAACAAGAGATATTACCAAGCCAAAGTAATAAAAGAAAAACTTTAATGGGAGGGAGTGGGGAGAGGAAGAGAGAGAGAGAGACATGCAAGAGTATTTCCAGGATCTCTGCGATGCTCCCTTTGGGGCCATCAGTGGTCGTCTTAAATAGGTAAGGGCTTTGAAAACAGCAGATTCCTTGCTCTTTGCTTCAAACTCCAAGACCATGTCAGGAAACCTGAGCCCTGGGATCTGCAGAAAGGCGACCGATCTTACTGAAGTGTATCATCTGTGCTTCCTTACTGGGAATGTCCCTCTGTTCCCAGAGACATGCCCCCAGCCTTAAGAGGTGTCCTGGACTGCGGCTTGATGAGAGCACAGCTGCCTCCCAGGGCCTAAGCATTTCCACTGCAGGAAGAGACGGCCCCAGACATGTTCCCTGGGGGCTATGTTTTCCTCCCAAGCCACGTACTAAGTCAAGCAAACTAAAATCCAGGGAAGACTACCACAGCAAGCTGAAATGGGGGAATACATGCCATGGTCTTGGCAAGCTCTACTCGGACTGCATCTATCAGAAAGGCTGTGTGAACCAGGCTGACTGTGAGAGAGCTGCTGTGAGTTTGGAAAGGGACTAGAGTCAGCTGCTAGGGACAAAGGTGGGCACTACAGACCCGGGTGTCGCAGGCATCTACTGCTGCCCAAGGCGCCCACACCACAGCAACCGCTCACCTTCCCCACAGCCAAAAAGTCTTACTAACCACACACTGACCATCTGCCTTGTTTACCATGAGAGAAAATTCAACTGCAATGCAATAAGGTTAAACAAAACCCCTTTATTGTGTTAGCTTCTTAGGTGAGCAACCACCCTTTCCTGCTTTGAAAGCTGGGAGACCTGTGCCTGCCATCCCCGCACTGCCGCATGAAGGTACGCACGAGTGTGGCAATCTACGCTTCGGGGGCAGCCCCCCAAAAATAAACAAACAACATTTTCACAAGTTAGCATCCGAGTTTGACTTGCCTCAATATGTAACTGTTCACACGAACACCACGTATTTATTTTCTAGTTTTTAAAACTCCCGGTTTTTATATTTTCTCTTGCCTTGTATTTCCTGTTTGAAGTAAACACCAGCATTTCCTTTAAGAGACTGGAGCTGTTTTAATGCCTGAATTACGGTCAGAGCAGCTGCACGTCTGATTATGCTTGAAGAAAATTAAAGAACTTCCTTCCTTTAAAATCATAAACGTAGCTCCGCTGGGCAGGAAGAGTGCCTCTACAGAGCAAAGCCGTCGTTTGTCTATGTCACAGAGGCTGCACGGCAGAAGAAAGCGACTATGGAGTAGTGGGCTGAGCGTTCACAAGCGAAAATTTAAAACGTCAAGCACAACTGACGTGTCTTTTACTCCCATCATGGAATACAACGTGTGCATACAGGCATTTCATAGAGCTTTTTCTTCCCAACACGTATCTTTGAAGCACCTGAATTGCTATGGAATGAAACACAAACCTCTGACCAGTTAACACAGCTCGGGAAGAAAGGACACAGACACACACGGAAAACAATCCACTGGTCTTCCCCTTCCCATTCAACTCTCACCGAGGCCCGGGAAGCCGGAGGCCCCGGCATGTAACAACTACAAAGTCACCCCCAAGATACAGGAAACCCTTGACTGCCCTCGGGACGGTGGCTGCTAGGCAGTGAGCCTGGGTGAGACCTGTGGGTCTGGAAACGAAGGCAGTGTGCCATCCAACTACTGCACAGGCAGGTGGATCCCCGCAGGCCCTGGGTGATTCCGGCAGGCCCTGGGGGATCCTGGCAGGCCCTGGGGGATCCCGGCAGGCCCTGGGGGATCCTGGCAGGCCCTGGGGGATCCTGGCAGGCCCTGGGGGATCCCGGCAGGGATGCACCTCAGTGTATGGTGCCGAGGGATTGGGCTCACAGGGAAGAGACTCATGGAGAGAATAGGAGCCATGGAGCTCTTCAGCAGGCCTGTGGGCAGTCAGGTAGGCATCACACGTGCCCAGGAAGCTGATGAGGTGGCGGACAGAGCTCCTGAGAGGGCCTGGAGAAACCCACGGCAACAGTTTTCCCAGGCCCCACTCTACAACGCAAGGAGGTCAGAGTGGATGTGCCTGAGCCATGATGCATTCAGCACTGTGTGGGCTCACGATCCAAGGGGTCCAGGGAGCTGAGCAGCACCCCAGAACAAGGCTGGAAATGTAATGAAATTCATGATGCCAGTCATACAACAAAAAATGACCAGGTTTAAAGTATGACAGGAAAATACCACGTGGTGCTGACACAGGAATCTGTCGATGGGGCATAATAAGGCAAAATGTTCACTGAGAATTACAAACAATATGAAACAAGATTAGACACAACTGCAAAGAGAAAAAGAAAAACCCACATTCAAGCTCTGATATTTCTTGCTTCGTTTGCAATAACCACCTTTTTGAAAATCACCAAGGCCACAAAAGGCATTAGTGGCACCATCAACAAGTTGGCACAGTAGCTCCAGGAAACACGTTCCTAAGAACAAACTCAAAGCCAACATCAAGGGTTGTGTACCCAGATGAGGTCACGTCCTGAGCTCCGTTGGGTCATTCAGGACTGGGTCATGCAAGCAGCATTCACAGAGAATCAGTGACTGAAGGCCACCTAGAAAATGTCACTCTAAACTGGAAACTAAAGGGGTCAAAGAAACCACTGCAATTAAAAAGGATATGAAAGCTCAACAATATGAAAATGATCAGAACCCAAAATTTCAGGTATAGAGCTAGAGTAGAACAAAGGGAAATTGAGAGCAATAATCTTAGCACTAACCTTAAGAAACTACAAAAACATGGGCAGATGAAACCAAAAACAGGGCCAAGTAGAAAATAAGAACACAGATCAGAACAGAAAGGCACGTAAGAGCAAAAACGAAAATAGGGAAAAATCAACACACCCCAAACTGGTTCTTCGAAAAAATAATGCAGGGATGGAGTAGCAGCCTCTCAAAACAAGTTAATTCCGGAAGCCTGCCAGTGTTACCACAGGGTGTTAAGGATTCTGAGATGGGAAGGCATCTATGGACCATCTGGGCTGGCCCCAAAGGCGATCACCATGCCCTTAGAGGCAGAGGGAATCCGACGGAATGGGAGCGGACAGGCACACAGATGACCGACACAGGGCTGGCTGCCTCCAGGCTGGGAAGGACAAGGGGCGGGGCTCCGAGAGCTGTGGAAGCAGGGTAGGACAGGCACATCCCGATCCCTGCCCCTAGAGATGATCTGACCTTGAGGCCAGAGGAGCTGTGACAGAATTCTGACCTACTGTTTCGAATGTTCAGGTCTGCAGTAACTTGTTCTGGTGACTACAGGATATTAACACAGAGCTTGCTCAGGATGGAGAAGACACCAATAACCCAACCCAGAAACCAAAGAGGGAAACTCAACAGAGACAGGCAGGACAGGCTGTCACGTTGTGTTCTCCGCCTATGGCCAGTTTCAGGTGTTCACACAAAATTAGGAGTCTACCCTGGAAACAAGTGTGTTATTATGGCCCTATCAAGCAGCTTAACAGTAGCAAGGAAAGGCCACCAGCGACACAGGCAGACTAGCACAGCGAATGGGATGACGAGGGATGCCGCAAAGCCACGGACCACAAAATTCACTTAAATAAGCATGCAAGAATCTATTACATTAGCGGCCATTATTTCTGACCAAATGCAGCCAAGGATGTCTGTAATGAGATGGCCAGAAAAAAACCACTTAGGACTTGCGGAGCATCCGCACGTTTGCATGTTTCGTCCAGCTCTAGTTTATGTATTATTATGGATTTCACAACACTCTCATGAGAAGAGAAAGCAAGACTTACTGCAACAAATGTCGTAACATGGGGCGGAGGGCCCTGTAGCCACAGGATCCTTGGACCTGGAGCCTAAGCATGCTCTGCCCACTCCCCAACACCCTGCCTGGGCAGCAAGGGTTGGTAGCGGTCCCTCGGAAGTCAGAATGAATGTGCTGGGAATGGCTTCAGTGCCCCCCTGTGGATTCCACACCAACACTCACACTGCAGGGTTACAGAGAGGACTCAGACCAAGGCACACTTCTTACTCCCAAATCCTCCTTAGCCTGAGTTATGTCAGTTCGAAGGATCTCTACAAAAGTAGTTTACTTTTAATGTTTTATTTTATGTAAATAAAGGCAAAGAAAGAGGAGAAGAGGAGAGGACAGGAGAAGAAAGGGGAGGGGAGGGGAAGGGAGGGAGAATGAAGGAGTGGAACTCACCTGAACAAGCACTGCTACCAAGAACACAGAGCTGCAGTGGCCTGAGTTGCTGGGAGCTGCTGTGCGAAGGGGTGATAGACCACTCAAGCCCCCGAGCACCCCGTGCTCCTCTGCTCCTGGACATGCAGCAGAGCGTGACGGTGAATGCAGGTAGGCTCCTCAGCACCTGTTCTATTTGCAAAGATGGACTGCTGCTATTGACAAACCCAGCCCCACGGGGTCCAACAATTCCTTCACAGCCAGGTGCTGATGCCAACACATCTG